AGCATCTGCAAGATGGCTGGCGCATCTGGATTGCCACGGCCGAAGAACGACACACTGTACATAGGTCCAAAGCCAGTTGGGGAAACGGTGCCAGGGTCACAGCGAGCCTGCAAGAATGCCTTCACCGTGCTTGCAGTGGACACTCCGACAGCTCCCGTCAACGGCGGTGATGCGCTGAAATCTGCCTTTTTCTCCAGCAACACTTGTACATGGCCAGGATGAGATGCTAACCATGACGCAGTAACTAATGAGCCAGACTCGGAGACGCATGCAATGTTAGGGTCTGCTTGCGACAGGATGAGGGTGGATAACATCTTCGAATCTTGAGCATTATAGGCAGCCACCATCAGCAAAGTTAGAGAATCGGAGTATCCCAAATGCCCAAGACCGCTGACACGAGCGTTGACATCTGCACCATTCTTGACCAAGGTTTCCACGATATCTCCATCGCCAGCAACAATTGCGCACAGCAAACCCGTCATGCCACTTTCATGTTTCACAGCGTCATGGAGACTCGGAAAATTGAAGTGTCGCAAGAAGCCCTGAAGGCTAAAGCCTCCCTGCTGTTGACCGAGCAATCTGGGCTCCTGCGCTAAGTGGAAGCGGTAGTCCGTCAAGGGCCCCCACCGATCCAAGTGCTCGATCTTGCTTCTCAAAGCCCGATCCCCAAGCTTCATCACCACAGTGCGGTCGCTTTCCACTGTGAACAAGCCATCCGAGATCAAGCTTCTTTGCCAATCCATAGGCATAATGTAAAGTGCCTCTCTGTCGGAAAATATGAGAACCACCCTGGTGTCCGCTCGATTTGACAACAGGCGACACCATAGCTCCGCTCGACACCAGCCTGGAGGAGCGAGACACAAAACATACATTGCATTGCCATCGGGACACCTTTGCTTAGAACCTGCGTTTAGTTTCTTGGCCGTCCTTTGGCATCGGTCACAGCAACCTAATTATTGCAACGAGAAAAAGAACAAGCGTAAGAACAAGCACAAGAACAGCAACAGTGATAGTAAGAGCAAGAGTAAAGGTAATAGCACGGGTCACCACGAGGGTAAGTAACAATAACAAGAGTACGAGCACCAGTGTTAAGCACTGTAACAGCAACAGTAATGCTCATAGTAATAGGAGTAGTAAGAATGTTGGTCATAATGGTGCAGATAGCAATAGTAATGGGAAAAGCAAACGTAATAGCGAAAATAATAGTAGAAAAGGACATAGTAATCGTGGTAACAGGAAAAGCACTACTAAGCTGGAACAATCAATAAAAATAGTAGTAGACTGTAATAGAGATAGTAATCGGCACAGCAGTACATGCAATACAAATACTAAAGTGCGAGAAACAGAAGCAGCACCAGCACAAGCACTGCAATAGCTGTAAACAACAATAGCAACAGAAGCAATAGCAATCGCCATAGTACCAGACACGGTCAACAGAAACAGCATCAAACACGCGATAGTTAGTTCAAGCAATCGTAAGTTGTTAGCAATAGAAACTGAAACAGTAGTCGTAACAGCAATGGCAGCAAAATGTAGAAACAATGACAGCAATAGAATCAGTAACGGTAATAGTAACAGTACCAGAAGCAATCATGGCAATCGCGATCGTAATAACAGTAGAATCTTCAATTGTAGTAGAAATGGCATTACAAACAGGAATAGTAACAGAATTAGTGCCCGTAGCACTAACTAAAGTAATGGTAATTAATTGACATGGTGATAGCGATGACACTTGCAACTGTGTTGAAAACAGCCTTAGAAATAATACAAATACTAGCAACGGGAAAAGTAAAGGCACTAGCAATTCTAATCAAGATTGTGATGGTGATGAGTGGTGATTGCCGACATATGTCGGGTGTTCAAAAGAGGCTTTGAGCCAGGAATACTGAATTCTTTTGGCATATTGAACCACACTGCCAGGCCATCTGAGGGTCGACGCGGGTCGGCCATCCCGAGGTCGATGCGCCTATGTCCACCAATGCGTGCAGCAGGCAGCGTAACCACAGAAACCCAAACAATGGGCTGTTCCGTTGTAACAACCATACCGAAAACATGCACAATCTGGTTCAAAATTGAAATCTCCCGTGATGATCCATGGGAGGCCTGTACCTTGGACAAAAGCCAGAGCACGAAGCGAGGTCCGCGTCTCCAGGCTCAGAGTGCCCATCGACAGAGCCAACGACGAACTTCTGCACAACGCCATCAGACTCAAACTCGCAGCAGGCGAAAGCTGCACGATCAGCATCCATCACCTCAGGAGTAGCCGCCCTTCGGATCGGCATATGATGGCAGTGCGCAGCACCGGGCCGCTTGACAAAACACACTCGAAGCTTCGTCGCTTCCAGTCCTGCACATAAGTGTTGGGAGGCCTGGATCAAATCCAACTCTTGTAGCATCAACACCTGTGGGATACAGTTGTCGACGGGGTCCAAGATGGCCGACGTTTCGGAAACGCCCTGATTCCCCATATTCTCTTCATTACGAATCTGCGTGGTTCCCAACGGCATTCGAAGCTTCCGGACAGAGGCCTTGCAACACCTCATTGTCCATGCCATGTTTAGTCGGGGGCTGCGTTACAGCCCTCAGCTTCTTGATCCTGGCCTTTAAGATCTCAGGCCTCGGCTCAGCAGTACATTCACGATCTCTGGCCTTAGTCACAATTAAGAACCGCACTTTTTGCAAGTCGGGCATCGCCCTGCATTGCAAAAGCAAAGGCGTGGCTTGCGCTTACGCAGCTTGACACATGGCCCAGTATGGCCCAGTGAACTACTCAAAATCCTCGAGGAACCTTGGCTGATCACCTGTGAGGATACCGTGCTGTTGAGCATGTGAGCTCGCCGCGAGCCGTAAAGGAGGCTGCCAACGGAGAAGCGCGATTCTGGACAATAGAAAGCCACTCGGAGTTCGGGGTGCACTGGCGACAATCTTGTGAAGCCTCCAACTATCAAGCTCGTGCGGACCAAGAGCGACATGCCACTACGACCGCCCTTGACCGGACATCGCCATGCACTAGCAATCTTGCTGGAGACGCCCACGCCATTGTGAGCCCTTTGCATGCGCTCAGCTTTCGCCGAAGAGGCGCGTTTCGGTCGGAGCCTCCATGCACGTAAGGACAGCATTCACACTTGAAGCGGTAGAGCCCCGGTCGCACCGGTCGCATGTTGCTTGGGGGCTCGGCTTCAGGAACAAACTCAGTAATTATCCCCATCGTCGAGCCTCGCCTCAGCACAGAATGCCTTAGCTTGCCCGAGCGAGCACTGGAGGCCTGAGATGATCGCACCCGCCTCCAATTCGCATCGTCTTGGGCCCTCAAAGAGGAGCGCCCGCGCCTCGCCGAAGCAGTTGAAGCTTTCGAAGTCGTCGAGGTGGCTGCACCATCAGCCGAAAACGCCAACCGAGCATCATTGCCACGAGTATCATCCGGGCACCTGGACTTTGCAAAAGCCACCGAAGGCCCGGTTTCGCGCACCGCAAACCGGGATTGCCGAGAAGGTGCAGAGGAGTCCGCACCATAGGGTGAAAAGGCCAAGCGGGCACCATTGCCACGTGTGACGCCTAAGCTACCGTCATCCTCACGGCCAGACGAGGCACTGCCAAATTGAGAGAATGCCAAAACCAGGTCTCTTGGCTCCACGGCGCGAAGGGGCTGACGCAGATCTTGAGGACGAAGAAGAATCCGCGTCTTGTGAGAAGGTCAATCCACCTCTGCCGCGATTTTCGGTGAACTTCGGGACGATGGCTCCTAATCACAACTGCGCAGTCTCCTTGTTGGGAAACCGCACGTATTCATAATGAGAGGCTCGTTACTTGAGGACCAGGAAGTGGCCGATGGCGGCCGGGAACTTGTGGACCCCTATCTTTTAATTGTAGTAGAAATGTCGTTACAAACAGGAATAGTAGCAGAAATAGTGCCAGTAACATTCAAAATACTGGTACCTGACAGGGTGATAGACAATAGAAAAGCGAAAAACAGCACCTGTCGCAGCGTTGACAACAGCCCTGGAAATAATACAAGTACTGGCAACGGGAAAGTAAAGGCAATATCAGTTCTAATCGAAATTGCGATGGTCATGAACGGTGATGACAAAAGCAATAGTTTTGGAAGACTGTACTGGGAACAGTCCCAAAAAACAGGGATGGAAACTAAGCGGTAAGAGCAAGTTTAATAGTTATAGACAGAAACTGGCATAGTGATACTAATACTAACAGTAATAGAAACTGAACTGGAATAGTAGTGGCAATAGAAAGGGCAATAGCAGCAGTCAAGGCAAAAGCACTAGCATCGAACCAAATAATAACACAAATAAACCATAGTAACAGTCATTGAAACTAAGGAGTAATGTTCGCCGCAATAGAGTAATAATGATAGTCACAACAACGGCAATAGCATTAGTAGAACTTAGCAGTAGCAGTCGCTAAACAGTGATGGTAGCGGACAAGTCATTGTAAAGCAATCGTACTGCAAAAGAAACTAAACTATACTCGCTAATCGTAAATTTACATGGCAACAAAAACAAAAAAGCAAGGCAATGGCAACGGCAGGCGAAACTGAACAGTACTAGCAATAGCAATAGCACTAGAAACAGCGGCAGCAAAAATGAAAGCAATTGTAATCGCAATGTGTTGAAGGGCATCCCAGCCTAGCCTCGAGAAAGCCAGGTGCTGTAGTTGCATTGAAGCCCGGTATCACTGTGAACAAGGTCAGGGACGAGCGCCACGAACATATCGCAAGATTCTACATATGCTGGAATGCTCTGAACTGCTCGAGCTGTATCTGACACTGTGGCATCGTCATTCACCCCATCGGCTCTTTCGGTAAGCTGTGGAATGGCAAACCAGTCTAAGAAAAGATACCCAGTAGCCACACGCTCGTAGCTAGTCGTGGAGTAGCTTTGGTCTCCGAAGGTGCGCATGAGATCTATGTCCACCTTCATGGATCCGTCTATCCACGACTGTAGAGCATGCCGCAACACCGTCATCTGCTGCCCAGACGGGTCTGGTGACCCCGCGCCCAACCACTGGTGGGAGACAAATATGACAAACATTTGAGGGTTCCATTCGTGAAGCAAGCCCTTCCGCCGCAATACCTGGTGTGGTTCAGGAACACCCTCCATCTCTAGAAAGTCCGACACCTTGACCACATACATAGGAAAGGAGCAGTGGTGCACCCCAGTGTTGCAGGAGGTCATGCCATCGTCGGCACCCTGTGAGGTGCCACTGCTCTGGGCACTGCCCTGTGATGAGCCCATGGCGGATGATCAAACTCCGGAGCTTAAGCTTGAGCCGGTTCTCATCATGTGTGTGAACGAATCTGCTATGCTGCTACTTCAAAACAAGAGCCAACGAAAGACGTCAGCGAAATCAATTAAAGATGAGACGCATAGCAGACGTACTTCGACCTGGCATCCCCGATGTGCCAATCCGCGCTGAGTTCCCATGACCAAAAAAACGCCGCCGGGCTTCCGTGAAGCCTGAATCTCGAGAATGTCGCAAAATATCCCCAGTTCCCAGGGCTGGAGTTGCCTTCGATGGCTTGTGCAAAGGACCCCCATGGAGGACGATTGCAGGGGAAAGGTTTCTGGGAAGGCGACTTAGGTGATGAATCGGCTGCAGGTCGCGGCAGATACATGATTCAGATGATGCTACGCTGCTACGGCTGCCGTGCCTTGAGCACAGGATGCTTGATCCTCAGTTAAGGGGCAAGTTCGGCACACAAGGA